AGTTGCGTGGTAGCGAATGTGAAAATTTTCCACGTCATCACTGAGTGATTGAGAGGGAAACATTCATGATTGCTTCGCAAGATGATAAAGAGCCTAGGATAATGCCTAAGGCTCCAGTCCCCTATTTTTAGAAAGTGGATTAATGTGGCGCAGTTTAAGACAAAGTCTTTGAGGATTAACCATTTTTATAATTTGGTTGACTTTTCGTTATAACGCAAAACTGTTATAAAATTATGCGTAATTTGAATAGTCATTGTTGAGGCATAAGGCTCGCTAGATATCGAAAGGTCGCACCATTGAGGAAAGTGTAGACCATGAGAAGACTTCCTCCTGGGGAGTGAGGTTATTTTGACTTAGGTTATGATTGACATAAGTTTGGAACATTGATTTGTAGACATTGTGACCCAACTTTCTCGTTAAAGAATTGGATAAGTAGATCCGTAGGGATTTACCTTCTGCTTTTCTTTGAGGATTAACCATTTCTATAATTTGGTTGACTTTCCATTATGACGCAAAATTGTTCTAAAGTTATGCGTAATTTGGATAGTCATTGTTAAGGCATAAGGCTCGCTAGATACCGAATGGTCGCACCATTGAGGAAAGTGTAGACCATGAGAAGACTTCCTTCTGGGGAGTGAGGTTATTTTGACTTAGGTTATGATTGACATAAGTTTGGAACATTGATTTGTAAACATTGTGACCCAACTTTCTCGTTAAAGAATTGGATAAGTAGATCCGTAGGGATTTACCTTCTGCTTTTATGGTGAAAAGTTAGGAGCGCAAAAATTTTTATAAAATGTTATGTGATATGTGTTATTTTTTGATTGATTTAATTCTAGTGTTATTTCAAGAATTTAAATAGAGTTTTATAAAGTTTGTCAATCTTAGATTTGTGGGCATATTTGGTTGTGTTTTTGTTTTTGTTTTTGTTTTTGTTGTTTGTTTGTGTGTATTTTTAAAAACTAAAAACAAATGGAAAATTTGAACATATCCATCATTTTTCTTTTTCTTTATTGTGTAAAATATTACCTAGGGTGGGCAGTCCTCTGTTTTAGATATGATGGACATGGGTGATGTAATTTATATGCTCGGATGTACGATCCTTAGGGATTGTTTTGGGAGAATTCCTATTTTGTCTTCGATGACTTACATAAGGAATATCTTAGAACGATTCTAGATGCAAAATTGCAAACCCATTGACTTACCTATCGGTAAAAGCCAGAGCCTTAGCTATTGAGTGAATCCTCGAATTGTCTTTGGGAGAAACAGATGACCTATATTCCTTGATATTTTCTTTGTTGTTGGAGCCTAAAGTACGCTATGTGGGCGTATTCGGCATGATAAGTGTTATCTTTGGTAAATGGTCAACTGAGTTGTTTAGACATTGACCTTGCTCATTAGACTATGTATAAAATGCTTTACTAGTAGTATATTAATTTGCTCCATGTAAGATTCAATTCGCTAGTTGGGCGCATCTGCGCTAGTTGGGCGCATTAAGAATGAATGCAAATTGGTCACCAAAATATCTTTAGAGAGGTTATTGCGCAAGAGGTAGTGATCTTAAATTACTTCATGTGAGGCACACATGGTGGATTCCGTTGTATATACTTATCGCAAAAGGTGCTGATAAGGCTTATGTTTGAAATCTATAATTGCGCAAGCTGTGGTCATTTTTTTTAAATCGATCACTTATTTTGAGGTGATGGGATGTTGACACTATTATGGTTTGTGTCATAATGATTAACAGATGATGATGATGTCAGCAGGCAAGATTGGCTCACTCACACGAGCAATCGCCCTTGGCGCTTGGGAGCGAGCAAGGATGAGACTAGTGATTTATTTTTATTTGGAGCCAAGAGAGGCTTAAATAATCCACTGTGCATGTCGCCTTGGTTACAACCAAGATGAGGTCGTGTTAAGGACCAAACATGGATGTTAGTACCCACTTTTCATGTTGTGCCTGTTATGATTAGCCAGATGCGAGATCTCATTTGGCGCTTGGAAGGCAAGCAAATAGAGAATTCGGGTTAGGCACTAGAAAACGACTAGACTAATATATGTACGGTGTATCGAGTATGATGTCACTCTTTATGAAAGAGTTACGTCATCGTAGCATGTGTTCATACTATATGTGCTTGGCGACCGAGTAATGAGGTGAGAGAATGGATCCCTATTTCCTCACCGTGTGAGTCTTACGTGTCATTACTGATATGACTTTCATTTATGTACCGTTTTGTGACTTTTGACTATGTCATAAGGTAAGGGGTTGATGTTCTGCTACTTTGGTATGTTGCCTACGGTCATGTATGATTCGGTCTTAAGAGACATCAATGGGAAAGCAGTCAATCCTAAACTAAATGGCATGAGGGCAAAGGGAAGATCATCTAGTATTACACCATTGTTGTATATTCACTGCCGGCAACTCACATCGCTCTGTATGAGAGGCGGATTGAGTATGAATATATTGCAAAAATTGAGAGGGTCAAACATGCTCTTTTTTGAGGCATTAGAGATGTTTTTTTTTTTGGACCGGTGTAATTAGATGGGTCTGGGGTATATGAGACACTATTTCTGTTCTTTTTGGGTTGATGTCTTGGCTCAGTTTGAGTTTCTAGTATAGAGCTCCCACATGCAGGTGTTCTCAACAGTCGCACGATACATTGGCTAGTATGATTTTTTTTTTTTTTTTGGAGAGATTGAGATAAGAGATGTGGCAGTGTTATGCCAACTCATGTGCGAGTGGGAGTTGTTAGAAATTGGGCGCCCATGTGGCATGACCCTCTGAACCTGAACCTTTTGAACCTTATCCATATAAGTTTGAATTTGAATTCAAAACTTATTTGAATAACCATTCAGGATATCTATATCTATCATATCAATAGATATGGATAGATGGATAGATTGATATATATGTGGTTATATATCATATTATATGGTTAATCTATGAGATACGTATATCAGATATACGTTATGTGATTTTTACCCATAACCATTTTTTCCAGACTCTCTCTCTGACTCTCTTCCATAAAACAACGATCAAGTCATTTTGCACTGTGACTTGTGTGGGTGATACTCATTTTGTAGTATCACTCCACTGCTGGGTTCGTTGTTCAGATTTTGGAAGCACGTAATTTACCCACGAGGTTCTTCGCTACAAGGTATGATTCTGATATTTTTTCCCGCTGAAATATAATACTTTGATTTACACTATACATCTCTAAAAAACTAGTCTAACCTTGAAGAAGGTGGAGATTAGTACACAAATTTTTTCCACACAAAGGTCAGTAATCACAAAATGAGAAATAAAATCTTGAGCTTATATGACAATAATGATTAGGAGAAGAAGCTTGAGTTGAGCAGCCAATGAAAAAAAAGAAGAGATGATCATAAAGTTTTATAAAGAATTGCTGGGCAAGAAATTTGAAGATAAAGCAGGATATGCTAGAAGCAGACTTTCTGCAGAAATTCAAACCAAAATACCTAAAGATGTGAACTCCTTTATTTAGATTTTAATGTCTAAAACTTACTCCAGTTTTTTTGAAACACCATATAAATTATCGGAAAATGTTTGGAACCTCTTTTTTTTGAAGACCCTCATAATCCCTTTAGATCTGAACCATTGATATATGTATATGTGTGAGGCCCACACCATTAATGGTGAAGTTCCAAAGGGGATTGTGGGAGGCTCCAAAAAAAGAAGTCTCTATCATTGTTGTTAGTTATCTGCCCAAATAACATAAGATTATATACTTACATGGTAAATCACAAATTAATTGACACACACGGTCGGTTATGTGGTTATTTCGCACGAGAAATTTTTGTACGCGGATAGGGTATATGTCATGTGGTACCTTTTACTATTGTGCTTGGTTTTGACAGTATGGTCTACTACATTTATGTTGAGTGTTTGGGGAACAATAGTGAGCATATACATTTATGATTAGTGAAAGATAGTATCACGTGGTACCCTATTAGCATACAAAAATTTCCCATTTCGCACCCATACGATAATTTCTACTCAAAGAAGTAATTATGTTGTCTTCACATAAAATTATATTAGTTGTGGGTCTTCCCAATTGACTTTCATCTTCTCCATTCTATACATATAATAGAGAATTTTTATTATATATTTAGAAAAATTTTATTACATATCTAATAAATATGAAATAAAAGTATAAATTTATAATTATTTTAAATTAGAAAAGATTATTACACCCACTATTGCATAATGTAATGAAATTTTACCATTATAAATATATAACAGAAAGGATCACAATGCTTGCTGAATAACCATAGGTAGGGTTATGTAAAATTTCACTCAATCAGTTAAAATCGCATAAATTTGTACTGTTCTATTAAATTTTAAATTTTATAATTCACATTTGAAACTGCGCTGCTCCGCTCCACTATAGTTAATACATATATATTTTTCAACTTCTAATGAAATATCAAAATAAAAATGAATATGAAAGAAATTTAAAATGTGAAATTTGTTACAAATTAGTAATTATATATATAAAAAATATTATTTAAAATTAGTTTTTGTTATATATTTAAAAAATATTATGTAAAATAGTGTTATATATTATGAAAATACTTGATAATTAGTTAAAAATATTCTTCAATCTATCAATCTAAGCCGCTCAAATCATGATTTGATTATTTGTCAATTTAACATTTTTATTTATAAATTAATTTTAAACCGCTTAAATTGCACCACGCATTCTCCTACTGTCAAGTATATTTTTATAACAATTACAACATCGCTACATCTACCGAATTTATTTAATTCAAAGATTAATATTTGAGAGTACTAAAAAAGAAGCATTAGGGGAAGCAGGCTCCCCCTTAATGTAATGGTTGTCTCTTATAATTTTTTTTTTTTTTTTAACATTTTTCAATTCATTAAAGCTGTCAGGGGTTTTTTTAGTGGCCTCAGTCAATTCTCTATTCCAAATTCATCTAAATAAATATCATCTCGGGGAGAGTCACCCACAAATTCATTAATCTAATAATTATTGTCATTATTCTGGTTGATTTCTAGCCCCAAAAATAAAGGTGTTATTCCCATTCCTATTCCTATTCCTATTCCGGGGACTGAATTCTGGTTTCCAATCGATTCTTCCTTCCTTGGCTTTCAGAGACTTACGTTTTGGTAATTAATCCTTTCTCGTTTCCATTCTCACTCTCTGCCTGCCATATAGTTTTTATTTTAGTAGAATTAATTGTTTCTTCAACCCTCCTTGAAGGTCTCATCATACTTCGATTGTTCGCTACACATCGCCATGGATGAGGGCTTTTTCTGTTGACAATGAACCAGATAACAATTGAAGTCAAAAAACGAAAAACCAACCAATTACACACACTTCTTTTGGTTTGAGTGATTGGGAGAGAAAATAAATGAAATGGAGAGAAATAGATTTCAATCACTTGTTTGGATTCTCTTCTCAAATAGGAGAGAAATGGAAAGAAATACAATTCTGTCATCACTCTTATTTTCAATCTTTAGGAGAGAAATGAAACTAACCAAATATTATTTTGTTGTAATATCAAAACTACCTTTAGATATAGGACAAATAAAAAGACTAACACCTATAAAAAGTTAATTTATTCAGTAATATAACCTTATATCATTTCTTTTCTTTGATAGAAGAGAAATCATAATATTTTCTTTTCTGTCTAAGTCACCAAACATAGTAGGATGTGTGAATTTTTCTTTGTTAATTTCAAAATTTAAACTACAATTTATTAATACATAATCAGGTTGATTATTTGCTTGATTGTTTATAGATTGATGTAGAAGGTGATATATTGTACTCTTTTTATTTTTGTGTGAATTAACTCCATTAATTGTATATTGGGTGGCAGGGATGGATGGAAATTGTGGTGAAATTAGAAAAGAGAGTATAGAAGAGTGTTGGGAGTAAGGATTTGATAATGTCCATGGTTCTTGATTTCATAATGTCCTTAGTGTGTTTGTTTATTTTAAATGACATTCAGTTAGATGGGTCATTCCTGTGTCTCTTTAAGGTTGTGTTTAAATCATGAATTTGAGTAGAGATTTGGAAAAGAAAAGGAAAAATGTGATGCAAATGCAAATGAAACATAAGTCAATTTTTTTCTCCATTTCCCTTTCCAAACTCTTGTACAAATCTATGATCCAAATACAACGTAAAGGAATGACATGATTTCACCATTTTTTGGTAGTTCGCACGTTCCTATGCTTTCTATCGCTTGTGCTTGCTTTTCACTCTCAGGACAACGGTCTCTTTCTTCTAATAAAGGGAAGCAATTTGCGTGCCTCTAAAGTAAAGAAAAGTTTAATAAACACACAAACACAATGCAAGGTATTGCATAAATAAGACTGTTGAAAATATTTCCTCTTTTGAGTAATGGACTGTCATCTCCATATTAGACTGAAACAATTCGGAAGTTCTAAGACATGTTGATATGGACAGTCATCTCCATATTAAAGAACACTTGTAATTGGCTAGATGATCGTGTGATTTTTGGTTATCCCTTTATTGAATTAGAAAAATTAAAAAATCCTAGTACCTGGTCGGGCTCATATGTTACTTTATATGAGAATTGTGATAGCTGGTGAACATTTTATATCTCACATATATTTGTACTTTGAAAAAAAGATGCAACATCCTATAATTTACATTATATAATCTGGATGTATATATATATATATATATATCTTCCGAATAAGCCTTTCCAAAAGTAATAAGGCATTTGTCAAAAATGAATTCTTAATTGCTGTATGATTTTATTATTTTTGTACTATTGAACTATACAGTATGCTGTCATAGTAAGACATGGTTGAATGTTAAAATCTTTGGAAAATTTGATTTTATTTCAAACTACTTGTCTATGTGCATATCGTGAACATGCTCTGAGTCTTTACACCTTCGTTATGTCTTCCTTTATATGTGCATCTGTGTATGCATGGCCCGAGGTGGGGATTGGGCAACATAGGTTGTTTGTGTCCAATTCCCCTTAACTAAACTTACAAGCTCTTCTCTATGTGGTTTAAATACTTTTCTGCTGAAGATGAGTTTCACTTGTTCAAAATTAAAAATTGCCTTGACATACAACGTTGTAGGGACCTGACTTCATTTATTATATTGTTTCTTTATCTGTATTTCAGTGTTTGTATGTTGGCCCAAGATTTATGGCAATTGTTATTATTCATGATCAACTTATATTGTCTGTGAAAGAGGTTGACCTTGAAGGCTAAAATAGTCAGCTGGCCAAAATAATTTGAAGTTGAAACTCGATCCATTCCATAACTCTAGTCCAGAGATTTAGAGGTGGTGAAACGGATTATATAAAAAGGTTGTGTGGAGGAGAGACAATGATGTGTGATTGAGTAGGGATTACTTTTCCACAAGTAGTGAGCACGGGATAAATACATTGGCAACATCAACAATAGACTTATAGGGCTGGATTTAGTGGGATTTTGTGGCTGCAAAGGTATTAAAAATATAGGAGTTTAAGGGTTTGTAAAAAGGTAGGGTTTTGGAAATGAAAACACAAATGTTTAGTGGCTATTGGGTGGCTGTTCTCAGTACTGTGAACCAAAGAGAAGTATTGGAAGAAGAAGGAAGAGAAAGAGGTGTTTCACCCTCACAAGGGTTAGGCCAATCACACACAAACACAATCTCAAATTCTCATAACATCAACTATTCTATTGAATCATTGAGATTATACATATCTTTATAGGCTAAAGACTCTCCTAATTCTAGAAGGACTAAAACTTAAATTTAGAAACTAAAAGTATTTGGCAACTACTAATATTGTAGACCAACTATGATGTCTAATTCTACCTCAATCATAATAGGAAACTTTAATGACTTATAATTCTATTTCAATATCAAAATAGGAATTTTGCTTTTTTGACCACTAAAGATTATTCTAGACATAATAAAACATATATAATGACCCAATTTAATAACTTGGCCCAAAATAAAACCCATGGGTAACCCTACAACCCATGTCCGGCAATGTTGAAATTACCATAATACCCTTAACTACTAAAACCTATTATAATGATATAGAGACTCAAAATTATTCCAAATCTTCAATTCTTGATGCCCTAAATTGTACTTCATGTGAAATTCCAGATTTGCTCTTTTTCTTCTTTCCATGATTTTCATCAGTAAATGGAAGGAAAAGATTCCCATGCAAATGGCAACTTGTCAGCGGAGTTTGAAGGTGAATTGGAAGGAAGGCAGCACTGTGAATCTTTTGAAATGTCGCAGGTCCCAAGGACAGATGGTTTGGGTGGGCCTTTCATGATGCCCCTCTTACCAGCTCCAAATGTGGATCAGTTTAATTCAAAGGCATCTGTTGTCTTGACTGGAACAGCTGCAAGAGGGGGAACTGGGCCAGCTGTTGGAGCTGTGGACATTGGAGTCGGCAAATCTGCATATTTTTTTCGGGTTGCTCTGCCTGGGGTCAGGAAGGATCCAGGTTTGTTGTTCTCCCCCCCTTTAATGATTTTTCTATATAAATGTTTGTACTATTTCTTAACAACAAGGCAACTCCTTAGGTTACATAGGATTAAAAACCCAAATTTCTCTGCATTGCATACTATAATAGAACTGTGTTAGAGACGTTCAATTCAAGCTAAGGATGAGAATCCGATTTAAGGATTCCAAAACATTGGGTTGCACTTTGTGTTTTTGTATTTTCTTACAGAAGTATTTGTGTCGCTGAAGTATCCATATCTCTACTTAATTTGATTAATCAAAGGCCATTTCGTTAGTCAAATTAAGTAGAGATATGAATCTATTTAATTTGACTAACGAAATGGCCTTTGATAGGGCAGGGCCGAGTGGAGAAGAAGGATTCATGTAGCCGACCCCATTTGATGGGACTTAAGGCTTGGTTTGGTTTGATTTGGTTACATAATCGGTTTTGGTTATATTTTAACACCCTTGAGTAACTCCATGAGTTTTAAGAAGTACTAAATAATATATTATAGAGATATATCATTACCCTAGAGTTACCTATATGACATATGAGTGGGGTACTAAAATGCATTTAAATAGGCATCAGAAGGCTAGGAATTTGTGTTCATGTTGTAAACTGATGTGTGTATTCAAGATGGTGTGGCCATATGTTTTTTCCGTCATATGACTTTTTCTCACTCATGTTATATGTAAATATAACACAAGCAACAATTTGCTGAAGTTCTTTGGAATATTGCTCGTGTAACAGTTTATAAATATTTATCTCTCCTCAATGAGATTTTGGGAATGCCTTACTACATTTGCATTCACACAATAGTTTTTTTTTTAAATGAAAAAACAGAATTGTCTTCTACCCATGGTCAACTCACATATTGAACTCGTTTTATTCTCAATGTCTAAATTCTTAAAATAAAATATGTAAATGATTTTTATTTGATCTTGGGACAAACAAGGAGCTATTCCTATGACCTCTGCATTTGCGACTGCAAGCTTTGCAAATAATGGGCAGTTGAATCCTAGGTGTAAGCCACCATAAGTTGTTGCACCAAGTCACGTATTCAAAGAGGTGTGATCTACTCTTAACGACAATGAATACACATGACTTTACCAATATGGTTTTTATTTTTTTGTCCTTCCCCTGTAATTCTTCATTGTTCAATTATTACAATTATCTATAGGATTTCATCTAATTTATATTACTCCCTCCGTCCCAAAATATTAGTCCCTTATTTCATTTTTCATTGTCCCAAAATATTAGTCCCTTTTCAAAAATCAAGTACAAAAATAATATAAATTTCTCATTTTGCCCTTTCTTTTAAATTCATTAACAACATAAAAAGTACAATTATGATATTGATATTTCTCAAAAAATGTACTATCAAAGAGTAATTTTGGAAAATCAATTTTTTTAAAGTGCAATAATTGTACTACCAAAAAAAATTAGATTCTCCAAAAGGAACCATTATTTTGGAATGGAGGGGGTAGTTGTTTTATTTCTTTTTTTTAGTAATAATTCAAACTGCTGTTTTGCTGCAATATGCATTATAGATGGAGGAAATTAGGGACAGATCCAAGATTATCACTATGGGGGTCCAAAAGTATGTTTGGGGGTGTAAACCCCTATAATTTTAAATTATTTTAAATTTTCTAGAATACTATATGATATTTTTCAAATTTTTAGGGGCCCCTAAATCCATCCTTGGAGGAAATCGGTGCATGACTGGGGACCAATTCAATGTAAAGCTATTGCGACCAATGCATGTTGCTGTAGCAATATAATTCTTACAAGAGTTTTTATCTTAGATAACGTGTTTCCCTTTCTTTAAATAATTGCCCAGTCCTAGAAGTTTTGAAAACTTAAGATTGATTGCCTATGAGGCATGCAAGACCTCTCCTGCAACATAAACCTACACGTGCCGAACAAGTTGTCCAGGCAAACCAAATCTGGGCCTGATACTTATGCACGTAAAGGACCATATACACATTATTTTATGCGGTGTGCAACTGCATGTTATAGAGAACACCTATACATCTTGTAAAGGATCTTACAATTCACAAAATTACATGTTTGTCAACCACATCATATGGTAGAAGGTGGGTCTAGAGTGATATGAAACACTGACACTTCAACATGGGTGCCATGTCCGTGTCGGACATTATGGAACAAGCGTGTCCACATGTTGGACACGCCATGTGGCTTGTCAATTTTTTAAATTACTATTTTTTTTTTTTTTTTTGCGTGACACTTTGGGGGACACTTCACGAACGTTTCTAGTGTTTGAACACGTCTCAGGACAGCTTTGGGAAGTTTTTTTTTTTTTTTTTTAAAAAAGATGATTTGACTAAGGTAAAATATATGAATATAAAGAGGAACGAAAGTGGAAAAATAAAAATAGACCCACATATACATTGATGCGTCTTATTTCTTTGTGTCCTAAATTTAAATTCATATGCATAGTAAATAAAAATATATAAAAAAATTATTTTTTTGCCGTACTTTGCCATGTCCATATACGTTTTTTTTTTTTCCCTTCTTTCAATTTTTCCGTGTCTTGTGTCCATGTCTGTGTCCATGCTTCTTTGGGCATGTTTGATTGGGTGGATTAGAGCATGAGATTGGGATTATTAATCCGTGGGCCCAATTATCCTATGTTTGTTTTAACATTTTGGTTTAGGATTATTAATCCAATGGATAATTAATCTAACAAATTTATAGGATTATTAGTAATGGGGTAGGGGTGGGATTATTAATCCAATGGATATTAATCCAATTGGATAGTGAATATCATACTAATTTAATAGGATTATTAATACTTCACTATTAGTCTTGTGAATAAAAAATGACCTTTAAGTCTAAAGCATGCTTATGAAAGGAACTTGGTTGACCCTATTGAACATTGCTTTGTTTTTGTTTTGGGTAAATTACACTTTACACCCTGTATTTTGTACCAAATCTCACTTTGGTCCCTACACATGAAATCATGATAGTTAACCCTCTGCACTTTTTTTCAAATCTCAGTTTGGTCCCTATACATGAAATCGTGACAGTCAATCCCCTGTAATTCTACTCAAATCCCATTTTAATCCCTACACAAGTGTCAATATCCCTCTTCTGTATCTTCATTTTTAAATCTTTAATAAAATCCAGTAATGTGACAAAAATGTGACTACGAAATGAAGGTAAGAGAGGAAAAGCATTTATGTTTCCCACCAATATACTTTGTTTTACGTGATAAGCACATGAAACTTATATAATACTATATATATATATGTTCGTATGGTAAAAAATGGGACAAAAAAGCAAGAAAGTAGAGCTTTTGAAATAAATAAAAAATGCAACAAAGAAATCAAAGAGAAAGAAAGATGAATAGACAGAAGACTGTATTACCGTGAGAAATAGAGTTTTGTGATTTCAATTTATGCAAAACCTTAGTTCATTTTCTTAATTGTTCACAACTTGCGTTTTGTTTTAGCCTAATATAGTTATATTTTGATGTAAATTTTGGGATAAAGTGTGTATTAGTAGAAAATATAGATGATTTTCCTTTCTTACCCTCACGTCGTAATCACATTCTTATCACATGACTAGATTTTGCTATAGATTTAAACAATTAAATAATAGAAATGGGACGTTGACACTTGTGTAGGGACAAAAGTGAGATTTACAGGGGATTGACTGTAACAATTTCATGTGCAGGGATTAAAGTGGAATTTGACCAAAAGTGCAGGGAATTGATTCTCATGATTTCATATGTAGGGATTAAAATGAGATTTGGTGCAAAGTGTAATTTACCCTTTTGTTTTGGTTTGTTTTGTTCTTTGAAGAGGGTGGTAAGAACACTATGCTGCACCACATGGGCAAATATAAAGTAAAAAATGGTCTTTTAATGGATCTGCATTGTTGGAAATTATGGTGATTACCAATTAGTTATATAGGTATTTTTTGGATGGTGGGCAATATCTAGATAACCTTTGTAAGAGGATAATCATGAGAGCTTGTTGTGGTCAGCTAGTTTCCTAAAATTTTTAATTGGAAACTATAAATAAGATAGCTTGAAATAATTTGCTCAGAACATAATTGGTTCAAATAATATTATTGGTAGATCCCATCAATAATTTTCAGATATTGAATAGAAGTGCTCGAGTTATGGCATTTGGATTTGGAGTCAATACATGTAGTTAATAACAGTGAACCATTGTTTTGCTTCAAGAAACCTGTGAACATATGATTTTCTATTTGTATTCCTTTTGAGTTAAAAACAGAATGCATCTTACATTTGGGATGGTTTAATTCTTTTTCATCTGACTGATAACGTTTGTTGCTGCAGGTCAGTTCAGCTGTGCGATTGAATGTGATGGAAAGGTCCACTTACGAGGTGTGACAACGACAGGTGGAAGAACTGTTTTTAGACATTCTCGTGTTTATGAAATGAAATTCCAGCAACAATGCCCACCCGGACCATTCACACTTTCTTTCAGTCTGCCAGGACCTGTTGATCCAAGGCTTTTTTCACCCATCTTCAAATCTGATGGAATTCTTGAAGCTATCGTCATGAAATATGAGTAATACATCATGTTAGGTATATGTTGGTTGAGTCTGTAGCCCGATGTTGTTAGAGCATAACCTAGTTAAACACTATGGCATACGTCTCTCTCTCTCTCTGTGATCTGGGTGAACTACAATGTGGTGTTTTAGAAAGTTGGTAAAAAGCTGATTTTTTGACTTTTTGGATTTTTTGGTGACTTTTTTGGCAAAAAAACTGGTTTTTTTTTGGCTGAAAAAAGTTAAAAAGCCAAAAAGCTGATTTTTTTAGTTTCTTCCCAAAGTGCCCAAATGTGGTTGCTGTCTTGACAGCCCATTTCAAAAAAACATCTGAGATGTGTACATATTGTGTATGCTGCTTGATCTTATGAATGGTGTTCATATTTTATGCAGATGATCTGTATATTGTAACATGCATGGATGCTGAATTTTGGAGGTTTATTGTATACAAATTTCCTGATTCAACTTCCATTAAATTGACAGGAAATGTCTCGATAGCATTTCTTATGATGTTTAGTTGTTGAAAGAAATTTCAGCACCCCAACCTCTCTCTATCTATACAAATTAATTTATTTGATGAGATAAAAAAGTCAGTTTGTGTCGGCTAAAATTTTACATGATATATGGATCATGAATTTTATTTTTTCAGGCAACATTTTCCAAAATTTCCAACCAACCATTGAAATACAGATGATGTGGAAACAAAGCAATACTGGCATTAGAAAAACCACTTTGCTAGACCCATATGAAGATGATTTTTTTTTACGACGATATGAAAATGATTTATGGGTTAAACAAATAAATAGTATATATTTATTTCTCTGAGTCAAGTCAATTTATCATTTTTTTCTCAAAAAAAAAAAAAAAGAAAAAGAAAAGTAAAAGTCAATTTATCATTTGAATTTGAAATACTAAAAATATCCTATTTTAGAAGTGTGACAGTTCTGTCATATTTTTTACTTTTTTTTAAAATCTTAATTTTACCCTCTCAAATCTATTATATTTTTTTGAAAGTTATAAAAAGTTTTATATGAACCAACCATCTCTTTGTTTTTGAAGTTGAACACTCAAAAACGATATATCTATTTTCAAGAGTCCTATATAAATATAAATAAACCATCTCCCTTCTTATCATAAATAAATAAATAAATAATATAAAAAAAAAAACTCATATCCCTATTTTTTACATTGATGATGATTGAAAAACATAAAATAATTACTCTTTCTTATTTTCTGTGTCTGCTTCTATATTGATATACATAATATTTACAATTGTTCACTATGGATCATATTGTTGTGAATAATTTTGGCTGAATCTTAAAGTTGTATGCATTTGTTCAAATTTAGATAGAGGAAAGCATATACGTTTTTAAAATAATTTGTCCTACATCTCAAAAAATCGTAGGTTATCTTCATACAATTTCTTTTTGTTTAGATTAGATTTTTTGAACTGTAATATTTTACATGATACTTTAATAACCAAAGTACGATATCAAAATTCTAAACAATAACCACTTCTATTGGTTTCATTTTTTAGATATGCTTTCTAGTTTTTTATTTTTCATATTTTCGGTTTTCATTTTTCATATTTTCTCAGTTTTGGTGATTAAAGATATTAAAATCTCTTCATATTTTATATTTAAATTATACTTTTACATAAATATTTAATATTTAATAATCTAAATAGAATTAAAAATAAAATATTGGTAAAAAAATAGTAGTAGTAGTAGTAGTAGTAGTAGTAGTAGTAGTAGTAGTAGTAGTAGTAGTAGTAGTATTATTATTAGTAGTAGTAGTAGTAGTAGTAGTAGTAGTAGTAGTAGTATTATGATTATTATTGTTTAATATTAATAAAAAAAATTTAACAAATTATTTTCTAAGTGTATTTAGATTAAGTGAATCTAAATCTAATAATAAAATAAAAAATAAAAAAGTATCATTAAATTAAGTAAATCTAAACAGAAAGCTCTATTTTCTTACCTCTTTGTCCTAATTTTCAATATATGAACACACATTCACATACACATAGATATTATATAACTTTCACATGCTTATCACGTAGGACAAAGTATATATTGGTGAGAAATGAGAATGATTTTTCCTTCTTGTCCAAATTTTGAAGTTACTTGTGAATTCTGTTAAAAACTTAAATAATAGAGTAATAGAAGGGGTAAGTTAACACTTGATTAGACATACAAGAGGTTGACTGTCATTATTTCATATATGAGAACCAAAGTGAGATTTGACCAAAAGTGCAGGGGTTAACTGCCACAATTTTATGTACATGGACCAAAGTGAGATTTGGTGCAAAGTGTAATTTATATAGCTATATTTGTTAGGAAAAAATTACAGAATTGTGTATTGTTTTTCTATCAAATTATTTTCAATACATACATATATATATACACACACACACACACACACACATGTCATACAGACAAGTGTCCACAACAAACACTTTCAATAATGAATCAAGACTTTGCAAAACACCTCCATCATGATAATAACTATACCTTTTTTTTTCCCTTCACAAAAAAAAAAAAAAAAAAATAAAAAAAAAATCACGAGGCAAAATAGATTTTGAAATTCATAACAATAAGATATCATCTCAAACTCTTACTCATCAAAACATTTTTATTGCAATGAGTTGTAATGGTGAGAAAGAATAAAAACAAGAAAATGGTGGGAAAAAAAAAACTATAGAAGATCTATTACAATATACTCTCCAAGCAAAGTTAGACGAGTTAAAACAGAAATTATTCTATCTGTTGTGAAATTCAAGAAAAACAATGTACATCATGCATATATTTTAGTCAAATTACAAGAAAAAATAAATGATACCCAAATATTATCGTAGCAACTCAATAATGCAGAAAGTAAGTACATTAAATAAAAAGTTTCGATTAATTTTTGTTATATGCTGATTACTAACGGATAATATAATAAATTATATAATTTGATAGTTTCATGAAAATGACCATGCACACACTTATAAGTATGTATCTATAAATATTGTAAAAACAATTATGAAATTCTTATATCGATCGAAATATTAAGGTACAATATTATTTCATTTTCTTAAAAAAATTATTTCACATTTTCTACATAAATGAAAATATACTAATGACTAATGTCATAATTCTATCATGCAAGATATTCGTGAGACATGAAATGAGACTCAACAACTCTTGATGTATAAAGATATATTACATATTGATATTAATCCATTCTTATACCAATAATATACAATAGTGAGTTTAATAAATTTGTACTATGAAATAAAATTGTGTAATTGTGCAATTAATTTTATACCTTCAATTGTATTACAGGTACGGATATGAAAAATTGAAGTGAAAAGTTGATAGAAAAATATTTGTATAATACTACATATTTAAAGACTTGTTTATTGTTTATTGTTTAAAATAAGATTGTGATATTAACAATCTAGGTAAAAATTAATATTTATGTTTATAAAATTTCTCATTTATCATTTAAACTCTTCAGCTGAGTATGTATTCATTTCTTACTTAGTTGTACATTTGGTACAAATTAATTTATCCATACAAATTTCTATACTTTATATACATATCACATATCAATTTAAAATACACGTATAATTATAATATTAATAGTTGATAAAAAAATTACATGCTAATCATTACTAAACGAATAAATATTAGAAGAGTTGCTCCAAACTCAGGGCCGTTGTATTCTCATTAATTATATCACCCTCAAGATCACAGTATAGTTGGAAAAAAAATACAGAAGCATCATAATCTGAATTCTTTGTCGTGGCTTATTTTGTCAAATTTGTTGGGTTTCTTCTAATCCAAACATATACGTGACCCCATGGAGAGGGTCCACACGGTTGAATTAATTAATGAAAATTATTTTAAAATAAAGATAAATTCTTAGGTGTGCATTATGCACCATATACAATTGTATGTAAAATTATATAAATGCCCTCACAAAAATGAGTAAGTTCAACATAAATTCACATAAATTTCAATAACTTTATGCAAATTTGTGTTCAATTTATATATTTTTGTGTGATCCATTATATAGATTTGTGAAAATTTACGTAATTTTGTGTAGAATTAAATATGGTGTGCATTACACGTTTGAACATTTCCCATAATTTGAATGTAATAAGATATAGATTTTATTTTGGGGTAAACTAGCAATAAGTTCTAATAATTGGACTTAGTTCCCAATAAGTCCTATTGAAAATAAGTCATAATAAAATCGTCACTAAAAATAATTCGTGACGTTTTTTGCATGTTGCTAAAATTTGGCAATTAATGAATTGCCACGATTTTTTTTTGTCACGATTTTTATAAATTGTCGCTAAAACTTACAATTAATGACTTTTTTTTGACGAATTTTTCAAACTATCGCTGAAAGTTAAAACTTAATGATATTTTTTTGTGATGATTTTTTAAACTGTCACTGAAAATTAACAATTAGTGACTTTTTTTAATAATATTTAATGAAAAACATCATTAACTCTCACAAGACCTATTGAATAATAAGTCTACCTATAAGGATATACACGTAAGTTTCTCATTATTTGTAGATGCTTATAGTACTTTTTTGGAAAAATATATATTCAGTGTACGTTTTTATTTAAAAAAATCATAAAATTAATATCTTAATTTTTAATTGTTTTCATGAATTTATAATTATTTTGTGAAATTATTATTGAATTGTAATTTTTTTTTTTTATACATTTTTTGGGGTATATAGTTTTTCTTTTCCTAACAAATTACGCTCTCATTATGATTTCCAATCTCATTTTGTTCAGTCATTTTTATAATCAATGAACATAATCTATGGTCCCATGAATAAATCATAAAAGGAAGAGACGACAAGTAAAGTCAGAGTCAGTAATTTCAGCAATTCATTTCAAGATTTTCTGCTTTCCTAAACTTATTGAAAAATCATGCGTAATGTGTGTGTGTGTGTGTTTTTTTATTATTTTTAATTATTATTATTTTAAAGGAGCTCAAATATTTTAAGAAAGTTGTAATTTTTTCCAACTAAACAGGGTGATTTTTAAAAGTTTGATCGCGTGACATCTTAGTATGCTGTCACTTGTATGAGCCAACAGAGTAAGTGTAATCCATTTTTTATTGTATTTTCTAAAGCATGTACTATTTCAAAATTAGTGTCATTCATTATAAGGAGAAAATTAGTGTGTCATTATAAAGGTTCTTCCCGTTAGATTTGTGGGACTAGTATCCTCCCAAGGATGGACTAGTGACCAATTTGCCCTGTGAACTGCTATGATTATTCAAAAAAAAAAAATTATCTCTAAAATCACTAATGTGAGAAAAAATATTCGCATTTATAGAGGATATCAGTGGTTTTGGTGCACAAAGAAATCATTTTTTGTAT